CTCACTCTCACTCTCACTCTCACTCTCACTCTCACTCTCACTCTCACTCTCACTCTCACTCTCACTCTCACTCTCACTCTCACTCTCACTCACTCACTCACTCACTCACTCACTCACTCAACTCATTCACGCACGGACGGACGCACGCACGCACTCACTCACTGACTCGCTCACTCACTCACTCACGCAGTTTCTTTCCCTTTTTACTCTTTTCTTGACCTTCGTGCGATTAAACGCGCCGCGCAAACGGCTAAATATCCGAATTTCCACAATCCTGCACCATCTCCTGAGAGCCTCAACGCCAACATTGGAGATGTTGTTCAGGTATGGTAAAGTACAAATTTTCTATCCCACCATGAGGTGATGCATAAGTTCCCTTGTGCTCTACACCGTCTGTGTGTTTGGCGGCAGGAGAGGGGTGCTCTTGCCTCGTGATCACGGATGTTGAAACATACCGTCGAGGTCCTCAGAAGGCCCCTCCTTATGCCTCTTTGAAAGGCGACTTGGAGGAGTAGAAAGTGCAGAACATGTCAACTCATAATTGTAAAGTCTGACTGGCTGCTCCCCTGAATCTCGAGGCTCAGGACGCAGGGGCGTTCATGGAGAGCCGCTGACGCCAGCGCAAGGCGCAAGGTGAGAAAAAGTGGCGTTGGTGCTTTGCGGCTGAGCAGGCGCTTGGCGGAGCAAACCAGCTTTATTTGCCATGGTAGCAGAGCGGCGTGAGGGAAAAGCATGAGCATTGCGGCGCTGAAGCCCGTGGCTCGCTGTTGTTCCTCCTCCTGGATGGGACTGCCCTACGGGCCTTGGACTCTACTCTTTGGGAGGTGCAGAGGTGATCTTCCAGGTCTTGGAAGAGGCGAACCAGGACAGGCTGGGCAATGTCTTGGACCAGGCGTTCGGCGTGCAGAGGCAGAAGGTGTAGTCCTAAGAGCATGGCGGGGAGGGCGAGTTCGAGGTCTACCTAACTGATGCTCGGTACCAACCTGAGGAAGAGATCGAAGAACAAGATGCCATCGATGCCCTGTTCACTTGGAAGCAAGCACAGCTCCATTGCGCAAACCAAGCTTGCGGCCCAGGCCAAAGGCTTCAAACGCCGGCAGGTTGGGGACTGAAGGAGGCTCGGGGCGAGGGAGGAGGAAAAGGACCGCCCAAAGATGGCAACAGCAGGAGGAAGCTCGGTGAACGTGATGTTGTCACTGCCGGAGATCCCGGATGTCAAAGCAGACCATTTCTACATCACTGAGACGCATGCGGATGGTTCATCGGTGTCCAAGTGCCATGACCCCGTCGGACTTGAGCTCTTTGGTGACGGGATGGGGCCGAGTACCAAGGAGGAGCAGAAGTTGTTCGTGAGTGTTTTTGCCATCAAGAATCAAAAACGCAACTCTTCTCACTGGCAGCGTCCAATGCCCCGTGCCGTTGGAGGATCGCACGACAAAGAAGATGGGGCCCACCTGTTCGTTTCTCCATGTTGGAAGATTCGCAGTGAAGCTCATCGTGATGTGGGAATGGCTTGGACAGGCTGCGCGGTCTTTTACAGGAAGGATCTCCGGTTACTCTATGATGGAAATGTCAGAGGAGGAGGCCGAGTACTTGATGGAGAAACGCAGTTGTGGCTTTGGTGCGTTCGTGGTAGACACGAGGACCGCCCTTCAACGTCATGAAGAATCCCTTCGACAACATGGATGTGAGATCAAGGAGGTGTGCCCCATCAACCACATACGCTCAGGTACTCAACACCTTCACCGGACAGTGCAAATCCCTGTCTATTTTGGCTGGAGTGAAACTGTGGCCGAGAGTGCATGTGCTGAAGGGGAACGTGCCTCTTCTGATTTCCATGAAATGATTGGGGGCGATCATCGGCATGCGTGAGGGTGAAGTGTCTTTCACTAAGTAACTGCATGTTGCTGGCAGGGCCCGAGAGCTGGCCTACATGTGTGGAGGTCTTCTGTCCAGGACGCTTTGCAGAGAGAGCCGGAACTTCGGCTTGCGGAGTTTGAGCAGCTTTGACTTGAGCAGCGATGGGATTGGAAAAGATGCGATCACTGGAAACAGGTGTCGGTGTGGGACATCATTGAAGAATAAGACCCTGACTTGATGATCTGGTTGCCCCCATGTGGACGCCCCGGAAGAGCCAGCCAGGGCAGTATGAACGAGGGGCGATTGAAGCAAAGGCCATGATCTGGTGTACCAGGATTGCTCGTGACAGGATGCGCAAGGGAAGTTCTTCCTCTTGGAGTCTTCATCGAATCAGCGACATGTGCATCATGGAAACTCCCGGCTGTGGAGACCTTGCGAGTCTTATGAACAATGTGTGAGGATCAATGCGCCGGCTTGCGATGTGGGCCTTCGAGACAAAGAGACACAAAGGCCTGGGATTCCTCACCAGCTCCAAGGGCATCGCCGCAATGTTGACCTAAAAGACTGACGCATCTCATCCTGGGGGTTTTGCAACAGTATATGTTGCCCACTCAGTCAAGCTGATGTTGACTGGAAGAGAACAAAGAGGTTCCTTTTTTCCAGTATAGGGACAGAGTTGAAAATGCTGTGAGGATGCGCGTCAATTTAGGACACGAACTGGCGAAATCACACCAAGCCAGGAGCAATTTGCCGAGAACATGCCGAAGCCAAAACTGAGAACCAAGGAGGATCCGAATGTCACCGCAGAAGGCACCTCTCGCAAATCTGCCCTGCCAAAGAAACCCGAACAGATCTTGCAGCCCAAGTTAGCCAAGGACAACAAATTGTTGACCGGACCTGCATTAGAACATTAGGAGCAGCGCGAACAGCTGCAAATGTCACCAGAAGAGCCAAACTAAACAATACAAGCTCCTAACCTGGGAAACACTTCCAATGCCTTTAATCAAGTTCTCCTTTGCCTACATACTGATGCAGCCTTTGCGAACGCCAAGAAACAAGGGACACAAGCTGGATACATTGTTGGTGTCACAACTACTCCGAGAAGGAGCGCCAGCGCTTGGGCTCCAGCAGCATGGAAGCCGTATCGTTTGAAGAGGGTGGTTGGTTGGACTTTTGCAAGTGAAACTGGGGCAACAATGGGCGGCTGGGGACATACAGACTGGATTGCATGTCATGTGGCAGAACTTCGTCTTCCAACGTTTTCTTTGGAACATCGATCCAAGGGAGGTGGTGGCGGAGATCATGGTGAACCGGTATGCCAGAGACACTGATTAGACTCATTCGCGTTGCAAGGCCAACATCCTTCTGGAGATCCAAGATGTTCAGAGGAGAAAAGGCCTTGGCGACACTCACCTGAACCCGAGATGGCGGCGATCCAGGCAACGCGGTGACAAGGTGATCCCAATGCCAGATCACAGGCGACTGGGGTGGAGGCTTTCCGAACAGTGCTTCATGACGGCACTCGTCAGCCTACATGGAAAAGGCCCATGAGGGCAAGAAAAGCGAAGCGTGGATCGAAAGCAGCCAGGTCGAGCCGTCGCCCAGAGGATGAGGCCTGCAAGGCTGCCATTGCAGACATATGCTACCAACATGCTCGGAAGTTGTACAAGTATCCCGGAGCGCCAACGTTTCCAGCAAACGATGCTCTGGGATTTTGGCGCCGAGCTAGAAATGGTGATGTTGTTTCGTGGACAGACAGAGCTGTTCAACATGGGGGGCCGGTGATGAAGGACCCACGTTGAAGACTGGACGGTCGCGCCTGCAAGGCCCCAAGGACAGCGAAACCAAAGTCCCTGTTCCCTTGTTCTCCCTGTTTGCCCATTAAGATGCCGCCATATAGGCTGGAATCTCGACACTCAGGACGCAGGGGCGTTCATGGAGAGCCGCTGACGCCAGCCCAAGGTGAGGAAAAGTGGCGTTGGGGTTTTGCGGCTGGGCAGGCGCTTGGTGGAGCAAGGAGCTGATTAGCGATGAGGTGAATGTTTTAGGATGGTACAGGATAATTAGGCTTTGCTACTAAAGCTAAACGATGGGCAAAGAAGGAGGGGACGAGCCCGCCCAGTGCATGCAGAACACACAAACACAAGAAGCCACCGAAACCCACGTGACATGACATGCACACAGGCTGGCAATGCAAAACGCCGTCAAGTTTGTACCTGGCAGCTTTTGCTATTGTTCACTTCCCCTGTTCAAAGCAAGGGCCCCCTGATTGCTCCGGCCCTTCACCTCAGATTTGTTGATTTGACAAAGCCACTGAAATTCATCTTGGAAGGTCTTGGAAGGCCTTTAGCAAAGTGGACAGGTGTGCCCTGGCTCCCTTTTAGTTGCAGATCCGTTGTTTTCGCAAGAGTGGCCGAGGCACATTTTCCAATCAAGATGGTCGCTCCAATGGTTTGACGGCTCCAAACCCTATGTCCCAAGCAGCTTTATTAACTTCGGCGTGGCTCGATGCAGGCTCGGCAAATGACTTTAGCTGATCGTGCTTGCTCTTGGGGCGTATGCTGGCGCAATTTGCTTGTTTGAAGTTTATCATTGCCCAACTTATTGGCCAGCACCCGGCACATCAGGCATGAGTCCCTTGGATGCCGTCTATGCTGAAGCCCACGGCACGGGCACATCTTTGGGCGATCCTATCGAGATTGTGGCCATGGGAAGGGCAATGCGAGGAAGTGGGACGGATGGCCCAAGCGCAAAGCCCCATGGCTGTGCAAAAATTAAAAATCGCGGGGATGTTCGGAAGCTTGTGCCGAATAGCGTTGAAGGGTGTGTGTTCGATTTGGAAACCTTGAACTTCTCTGTCCTGAGGCCAGTGCTTCAGACGACCAGTTTCAAGTCAAACATTGGGCACTTGGAGTGCGGTGCTGGCGCCGCTTCATTGGCCAAACTGATGTTGGTCCTGCAGCAGTCTGTGATACCACCATCTCTACACCTGAAAGTGTTTCTTGGCCAACTTTCTTGTTTCAAAGGTATGATGTATGTTTGTATGTCCTTTTTTTCTGGGGCATAACTTGACTTGGTTGGCCACCTTGTTGAGCCTAGGCTGAATCGGCACATTGACTGGAAGGAGGTTCAGGTCAACGTGGTCACAGAGTGCGAACCCTTGAACAGCAAAGATGGGGTAGCCGGCTGTGCACCTGGGCGACGTTATTTTCGAACAAATAGCAACATTTATTTCAACTTGTTTGTGGTGGTTTTGCCAGCTACCAGCTCAGCTGCTGGGTGACATGCGGACTCCTTTGAAGATCCTTTTGTGACCCATGGGCCATGGTTTTTTCTCTAACCTTGCATCGAGGCTAGCTAGACACAAACCTTTCAGACCAATTTTGCGAGCTGAAGCATGCGCACATGTTTTGGGATGTTTTTTTGCGTTGCAGAAGAAAACAGCACATGTAAGCACAGATGTTTGTGCAATATATACATATATACAGACAGAGTATGTTTTTTTTAGCACACTGGGTCCGCATGACCAGGTCAGTGGTTTTGGCTTTGGCGGTTCCAATGCCAATGCAGTGCTTGCATCAGTTCCTGCAACTTGACATGAGCACAGCATCGCTTTGAGTTGGATCCCGGTCGAAGACCCGCCGTGGTGAGTTGTCAACACTCGGACATAGAATAATTTCCAGCACTTCCCACGTTGTAATCAACCAACAAATCTGCACACTCGTCTTTGTAGGAATGCTAGCTAGTTCATCACGAAAGCTAGCCAGAGACTGGGGGAGACCGAAGTGAGAACTGGGGGAGACCGAAGTGAGAACATCGTAAAGAGAACATCGTAAAGGGCTGAAGGCTACGCCCTCGGCTGAAGGTCTGGGCGAACGAAGTGAGTTATATAATGGGGAGCCCCTGCAGCAGAGTGAAGCAAGTGGGCAGGGCTAAGGGGTGAGCCCGTAAAACTGCCTTGATGACGCGAGTGATCCAACAAGTTATACATAGTTATACTATACTTGCATTTTTTGCATCAAACTCACTGGCCCTCACCAGAAACATCCAGAAACCGTAAACACTTGTCAGTTAGGGGGTTGGCGTTCGTACCTCACTTCTCAGGATTGTTCCAAAGAGAGAGAGAGAGAGAGTGAGAGAGAAATGCAATAGAATGCAATTAATGACGGTTCGATGCACTTGATCGTATTTGCTCCACTCACTCTTGTGGCGTTTAAGATGGTTTGAGGCTGTCAAGGTGCGGAGCTCTCGACGCCCCGTCGTGGTGCCTTTCATCTCGCGTGAGCTGCCGCTTGCAATCCGTCGACTGCAGGCAGCGGGCTTTTAGTTCAGAACTCATGGATTCATTTGTTCCAACTCTAACTTTGACAACTTTGAGTGAGCAATATCTACTGATTCAGCTGAATGTTGGATGCAGAGTGCTGATATTCACTAAATTGCCCTTAATTCAGTTCAGGCTTGGCTTCAGTCAAGCGAGAGCTCGAGCAGCTTGAGCAGCTTTGAATCGCTTGAAAGTGTTGCCAGAGCAGCAGCTTTGAAAGCAGCTCGTCCAAGTTTCCAAACTTCGCAAACTCTCCGGCGCTTCGCAGTTGTCGCCGGCAGCACCACTGAGCTTGTCGAAAAGCTTCGATGTGCAGCTGCAACAGCAGAGTCGCCTCCAACTTTCAGGAGCAGGCTGTCAAAGATCGGGATGTCTTGCACTGTTGTGTATATATATATATATTTATACACACATATATATATAGTTGTTCTGACCTCATGCTTTCCTTTGATATCCTTTGATCGTCAATCCTAAGTCCTTGTGGAGAACATGCAGTTTGGGAGTCAAGGGCTCCATGGCACTTTGCCACCATCCTTAGCTTTTGAAACGCGCCTTCTTGTTTGCAAGGAGGTTGGCTTTGCTGTTGACCGGTAGTTCCGAGCCTGGAGCCTTCGCAAGCTTGCGGCTGCTGCAAGCAATGTCAAGTTCTGGGTCGCGGTGGCCGGGCATGCGAAGGAAATTGGAGGAGCGAATGCACGCTTGTGTAAGCTTAATCTGAAGAATGTTTTGTATCAAGTAGCCGGGGTGAACGTAACCTCCCGTGCATGCAGTTTTTTTTGCAATCACTCCGTTATCAATGCGGCTCTTGCTGCAGGAGCTTGAAAACCATTGCCACAGTGGAAACTCGTCTAGGGCAGCCTTTGCAAGTTTGCATTGCGCAGCTGCAGCTTTGATCGAAGACTTGGGAGTCATACCAGCCCTGGTGTGTGGCAGCGGCATGGCAGGGGAAGCTGCAAGCTTGACAACAGCTGGAATTCTTCAGCCCGTTGATGGGATCAAGCTGGTAGGTGGTCAAAGTGGCTTCAATGCCTACTGGCCCCCGACCATGTCGGTGTGCTCTGCTCACCATGGCTTGCTTTCCGAGAAACCATCAGCTGCTTACTTGGAGGCACTTGCCACAGCTGGGAAGCAAGGCTCGCAAGTTGTGCCACAAGGCTTGCTCACAGCCATTGAGTCCCTCCAGTGCGATGCTGTGATTGAGCTGTGCATCGGAACTTCTGTGAGAAGCGTGCTGCGTGATTCCAGTGACTCCCTGAATATTGTAAGCGCCCGCATCGGTCCACCCAAGGATGGACGGATTGTGTCTGGTGATGTGGCCGAGCGTGCCATTTTGGAGGCAGCTGCAGCTTTGTATTCAGGTGGTGGGTCTGTGAATTTTGCTCAGGCTCTCGGTGCAGGACCAATTTCAAGGCTGCCTCCCCCAAGTTTGGCACCTAAGGTCTGTTGGCCTTGTGATCCAGCCAGGGCTGAGTGGAAACGTGACGACCTCTACACTGATGCTTACCAAGCCAGCTGGCTAGCCAAACCGGCAGCTGGCACAGCTCCAATCTTCTCAGCGGGGCGGTTTTTGATCTCTGGCAGTTCGGGTGCTGATTCTTCATTGAAACTAGCCGCCAGTTTGCTACATCGAGGTTGCACAGCCAAGGTGGGCGATCCAGCCACGGATCGGCTTGAACCTTCGACTTGGCAGTTTGTGTTTGTTCTCGAAGCTTCAAAGCCGCAGCAGCTTGAACACAATTTGGGCGCAACACGGGACGCTCCGCATGCAATGCTGCAATGGCTTCGCTCACTGCCAAAGACCGGTTGCAAAGCTGCTGTCGTGAGCGTTGGTGCCCATGCGGTAGACCGAAGCCTCAGGTGGATACCAGCTGCTGCAATGTGGGGGGCTGCACGGTCCGCGAGACTGGAGAGGTCAGACCTGACCCTGAGGTGTATTGACCTGGATCCTTCGATCGATTCTTCCACAGGCTTCAAGCATATCGCCGAGGAACTTGTTTCTCATGCAGATGAAGCACGAGATGTTCTCATAGAGCCTGGCGAGCGGAAGGTCAGAGTGTTGGAAAGTTTGAAGCTACCCTTACTTCAGGCACCATTAGCTTTGACTTTACCTGAAACATTTGGGATGACAGGTGGGACTGGAGCTTTGGGTCTGATGTTGTCAGAATGGCTCGCCTCACAAGGGGTCAAGTTACTCATTTTAGCATCTCGGAGCGGTAGAGTGCCAGAGGCAAATGCAAAACTTTGGAGTGCCGTGAGTCAAACTTCGGCCGCAGTGAAGCTATGCAAGTGTGACGTTGGGCAAGACCCTTCTGGGATCGCGCAGCTGCTGAAATCTGAGCAGGAATTTGGGCTTGCGCACTTGGCAGGGGTCTTGCATGATGGCCTGTTTGCTCATCAAGACTGGGGCACCTTGGACATGACGATGAAGCCAAAGGTTGACGGTGCCGCCTTCCTGGTGGAGTTGCTGCGCTCAGCTTCAACTGAACACTCTGCCAAGCGATTGAAACATCTTTGGCTGTTCTCATCGGTAACCAGTTGCTTGGGAAATTTTGGGCAGACGTCCTACGGCGCAGCCAACTCAGCGCTCGATGCAATGAGCCGCTCATGGCGGCCTGGGGACACGCTGGGGCCCGCACCTCAGGCGACCATGTCAGTGCAATGGGGTCCATGGGCAGACTTTGGAATGGCTTCTGGCTTGCAGGAAAACACCTCAATATTCAAGCCGTGGAGTGGGAGCCAGGCAATGTTGGCATTGGAGGCTACGCTTTCAGCAAGCTCCCCTGTGGTTTGCTTGACGCAGTTTGCCTGGCAGAATGTCAGGCAAGAGCTTGGCGGACATGCTTACTACCAAGGTTTCTTGAAGGAGGTGTGGGGAAAGAGCACCAACCTTGTCGCCCCAGCGGCGCTTGAGGGCCCACCAGATTTTGCTGACGTAAGAGCAGCAGTGGTGCAGACATTGCAGAAGTTCTTGCCAAATGGAGCGGATGGCTTCACGGATGATGCGGAATTTGATGAGCTTGGGTTGGACTCTCTCTCAGGTGTAGAAGCCTCCCGTGCCCTAGGAACAGCGCTTTCTCAATTTGGCATTTCTACAGTGAAGCCGACTTTCCTGTTTGAAGCCAATTGCTTGCGCAGCGTTTTGTCGAAGCTCCAGGCATCCAGGCCAACTCAGCCCACTCAGCCTGCTCAGCCCGCTCAGCCGGCCACCATTGCTCAATCACTCGCAGCTGCCAAACCGACGTCGGATATTAAATCTGTCGTCGTTGAAACCCTGGAGCGTTTCCTGCCCAATGGAAAGGAAGGACTCACAGAAAATGCTGAATTTGACGAGCTGGGGCTCGACTCTTTGTCAGGAGTGGATGCATCACGTGCTTTGGCGGCAGCATTGGCTCCGCTCGGGGTTGGTGGAATCAAACCAACCTTCCTCTTCGAGGCCAACTCTTTGACCTCAGTGCTTGGCAAGCTGGACAAGCTTTTTGGCTTGATTCTTTTCGATTCATTGTGTATGTATATAATGACCTAATACTACCCTATATTATATAATACTGTAATAGAGAGCTACTCGATGTAGGCAATTGAGTCTATATATAGCTTTATTTGTTTGGAAGTGCACTAAACTGACACACTTGATGCTCGCAAGAGCTAAATCAGTAAAGGCAATCCACTTTACTGCAGTTAGACCTTTACACGCAGTTAGACCTTGGCTGAGGGAACGGACAGGTGAAGAAGTCCGGAGATCAGACATGTTTAACATCGCTCATTAGCCCTTTACAGCATTTGAAACAATTCCTGCAGGTACATGGTTGAGCGTCCTCAACCACTTCCCTTCCAGTGACCCAGCTTCGTTGGATCAGGTTAGTCACTGGAAGCCTGATCCCCTGCTTTCAACGATTTCGTCCGCCAGTGGTGAATTATTCAATGCAGGCTCCTTAAAAGCAGGTGTGGGCACACAAAAAGCCGTGAATCCGGCGCACTGTAGGGAAGGGGAGTGGGAAGGAGAGAGAAAGGGGACAGAAGGGAGGAAACCTGGGGACGGCAGGGAGGTGAGGTGGGCGCGGTCTTTTCCACGGATGGTTCGCACACATCCTGCTGAGTCGTGCCCTTTTTGGGCGTAAAGTTGGGCAAGGTGAAGAAGCGCTCGTTCAGCTGCGGAGGCCGTGTAGTTGCGGATGAGATGCGCTCTGGAGCTGAGTCCCAGTCCAGATAGTCGTAGTCGATGAGAACCGGCGGAAGCAGGGTCTCGTATTTTCCAAGGTGGATGTAGGTGATGGTGCGCTGGGAGAGGTCGACGTCGAAGCCAAGGAGGTGCATATCATCCACGGGTTCCAGCTCAACTGGGTTGCCAAAGAAGTCCGGGTGGATGAGTGCTTGAATGCCGATGTGGGAGAGGAAAGTGTGGTTGAAGGTGATGAAGGGGATGTCGACGTAGCGGTAGTAGGTGAAGTGGATCTCGGTGTGGTCTGTGAGGGAGTAGTGGAGCTGATGCCAGGAGTGCTCGGTGAGCGTGATGGCGACATTGCACAACGCTGGAGAGAGTTGGGAGCCAATCCCAGCTCCTCGTACCTGCTGAAAGTAGGTAGTACATGCCTGCAAAATACAGGTGTCGAGTGCAATTTTGACGATGGGGACGATGTCGGTGGTGTCAATGGTGCGCTGGGTAGGGTGACGTCGGTAGTGTTAGCCGATGAGGGAAAGTTGAAGTGGGTCTCCTGTGGCATGGAGGTCAATAGTGAGTGTGGGGGTATCGAAGGTCAGTTGCCACTTGGTGGTGAGGCTTTGGACCGCATCCAAGAGCCGATCTTGTGGGACGGAGTTGAAAAAGCCAACGAGGTCATCGTTGATTGCATGGAGGTGTCGATATCACGAAAGCGACCTCCGAAGGAGGTCAGCTGAAGTTCTATAGTTTACGATTAGATGGGTCAAAATCGAAAAAAAACACAAGTCAATTTCCTTGCATTTAGGTATCATCATTTTAGATTCAGGTTGTACAGCCTTTGTTCCACTTCACCCTGCACTCTTTTTCTCAACGCGGAAAAGATCACAAAGTTTCAGTCAGCATAGCCGCCTGGCCGGTGCAGCAATCTCAAACTCAAGTTGAAAACATGAACACGACTGAACGTTCCAAAGAAGACCTCAACGCCCTTTTCAACACACATCCCCCGGTTTCATGGCTTGCGTATGGACAGCAGCTTAAATGTGCGTAAGCTTGTTTCAAGCTCCCAAACACGATTTTCGGTCTTGGCTAAATCTCGTTTAGCGGCCCGAAGGTGGCGTTCAAGTTCCTCCACCTTCAATCGTAAACGTGCATTTTCATCTATCAGAGCTCTCTCACCATCATCAACAATCGAATCGCCAGACTTTGAAGACTTTGAAGGCTTCTTCTTTTGGTGCCGCTTGTTCTTTCCTAACAAATACAGCCAAGACTGAAGACAAAACGTGTGTGTGTGTGTTGTTAAGTTTTAAAAACGATACTCAATAGGCAACGAACGAGCTTCTGGTTTCCTCGTAGGTCTTTTGCAACGCACGGCGTCTAGCCAGACCAGATTGAGGAAGATCGACATTCAATTGTTTGGCCGCCATGGCACCAACATGGTTGGTCATCCGTTGGTTGAGTATGAATCTAGAAGTCACTATGTTATTATGTCTTGAGCGTTGGTTGAGTATGAATCTAGAAGTCACTATGATATTATGTCTTGAGCGTTGGTTGAGTATGAATCTAGAAGTCACTATACTATGTCTTGAGCGTTGGTTGAGAATGAATCTAAAAGTCACTATGTTATGTATTGAGCGATGGTTGAGTATGAATGAATCTAGAAGTCACTATACTATGTCTTGAGCGTTGGTTGGGTATGAATCTAGAAGTGACTAGGTTATGTCTTGAGTGTTGGTTGAGTATGAATCTAGAAGTGACTAGGTTATGTCTTGAGTGTATGAACTGTTTTGCGATCCCTTTCGAAGACCAATCTCCCCTTGGTCTTCACCCCATCCCCCGCTGAAAAGATTACAGCAGCGGACACACCAAGTGACCGCACAACCGCCACCACCACAACCACCGCCACCACCGTCACTGCCCTTCCCTGCCAAAGTCGCCTCCAGGTGCAAGACAATCTCTGACTCTGTCAGGTAGATCTAGACCAATGGTCCTACCAGCGGCCGAGCTTAAAAACGATGGCTTGCATTGAGGTCTTTGCGCCGGCGCCGGTAGTACGGCGCCCGCAGTATATACCGCGCCCACCCGTAATATCCACCTGCGTATGACCACCCGCAATATATAGGACCACCCGCAACATATGAGCCCCGCAATAGGATCCAATTCTACCGCAATATCAATTCAACACTCTATCACCCCGCAATATCAAATACCTGGACCTAGTGGCACATGGAAACCAAGCACTGTTCCATACGCAAGCGCTCCTCTGTAAGGTGTCAGGTTGCCAGGTCCAACCTCAGCCCAAGAGCAATCATAGTGCGCAACAAGCGAATGAGTTCAGAACGCCAATCTGATTGACATGGATGTAGGGTCCTGGTCGACCGTCTGCAAGTATGGATCTTGGTGAACAGAAAAAGCTGATCTCCGGGGGCGTCTGCCATGTCAAGGTGGTCGAGGGCACAGGTGTGGCAGCACAATTGCAGAGATGGCTGCGGAGCGGGTGGGCAAGAGATATGTCCGGAAATAATGCTGAGCGATGTTGACTGGGGTATATTCTTTAGTTAGACAGGGGAAAGTGGGAAGGGTCGGGTGAGGTTTCAGCGACGCGTTAACAGTAGGATACCGGAAAAGTAGGCGCCGGTGCATGTTGCATTGGTGGTGCCGGGTGTGTATTGGGCGGATGGGTGGCGTGATGTGGAGGCCACATAGTAGGTGGGAGTGCCGGGACTGAATGGCATGGCGCGCGTTGGTGTGGAAAAGGCTGTGGTGTGGGCATCGCCATTGGTGGTGGCTGTGGTGCATAGGGGTACGGCCAAGGAAAATGCATGCTGCTGAAAGGGAATCAACTCACCGTTGTCGTCAGCAGCAGCGAGGCGGCAGCGCGCGATGGAGCGGCGCCGTGCAAGAAAGGACGATGGTAAGCGCCGCGTGAAATCCGGATGAATTATCCTAAGTCACCCAAATTAGTAATTTTACTAACCATAAAATTTTCGTAAATTTTTGGTTTTACTAAGGAAAATTTACGTAAAAATTTACGTAAATTTAATAGTAAATCCAATTTAGGTTATGAGTAAATCCAATTTAGGTTATTAGTAAATCCAATTTAGGTTATTAGTAAATTTTTTAGGTTATGAGTAAATTTTTGTGAGCATGATTTTGAAGCAGAAAATGTCTCTATTTATGTGAGTTGGCTTTCTCCAAAGAGGCAGGTTTTCTACAGGACAACATGTACTTGAGGATATTTGCGCTATGGATTTTTGTTTTTGTTGACTGAGCATGCCAGGAGGTGTGGACTTTGCCTTTACTTGAAGGGATTGCATTTACTTGAGCATGTGTACCCTTCTTGACTTGAACAAAACATTTTTACTTGAGGGTGTCTACTTGAGGGAGTAAATTTACTTGAGGATATGTACTTTTCTTCACTTTAGGAAGAAGAGCATTCTCTGATTCTCTAATGGTTTTTGCCAGTGTGAGGGTGCATGTTTTATGTGAGAGATCTTTTGGCTCTGTGAGAAGAAGAAAAAGAAGAAGAACAAGAGACACCTCAGCAAGAAGGAAACAAGCAGTGAAAGGGCCAGGAAATTGCGCAAAGCTGACAAGATTCTTGGACTGAACTTTAAACAAGTTTGTTTGTTGAAAATTAATTGTTCAAGTTTGTATTAGCTGCAGCAAATGAACAAGAGTTATGTCAATGTTGGCTTGAAACCATTGTCAGGAGGCGTGACCGCATCAATGCCATGATGGACTTGATGAGGACGCTGCAAGATGACAGCAGTTCATCTCTGGAATCCTTGGAGTGAAAAAGACACAAGCAGCCTTTGGGGTAGAGTTGAGGGCACGCATTGTGACATGATGTTGAGAAGCTGTTACATGAAGAAGGTCTGACTTTACTTGAGAAGCTTTTACATGAGGGTGTGACTTTACCTGTTGAGCTTTTACTTGAGGATGTGATTTCACTTGAGCATGGCACACTTTACTTGAGCATGGCAGACTTTACTTGAGCATGGCACACTTTACTTGAGCATGGCAGACATTACTTGAGGATGGTTTTACTTGAGTGTATTTTACTTCAGTGGTTGAGACTTTGTGTAAGTATACTTTACATGAGGATGCCATTCAACTTGGAATTGTGCGCTTAGTCTTGTTTAGTTTTGTTGTGAGTTGAAGTGTTTTTGATATGTATTTATGAAATTTAGTTCAAAAACTACAAATTTAAGGGAAAATATTGATGAATTCTTGATGAACTTTTGATGCACTTTTGATGCACTTCTGATGTACTTTTGATGTACTTTTCAAAAGTGTATACACTTTTGATCAAAAGTGTATACACTTTTGTTAAAAGTGTATACACTTTTGAAAAGTACATCAGAAGTGCATCAAAAGTGCATCAAAAATTCATACAATTTTTTGACAGATTTTTTGAAAAGCTATGATATTCTGCATCATATTGTCAGCAAAAAGATATCTAGCATTCTTGTGGGTTTATCATTTACCTGAGAATGTAAAGCTTTTGCACAAAGAGTTGATCAGCATTGTATGTTGTTCAATTTGAAGTTGGTTTATCCTTTACCTGAGAATGTAAAGCTTTTGCACAAAGAGTTGATCAGCATTGTATGTTGTTCAAATTGAA